GTCAAGAAACGTCTGCAAGGAAACAACCAAGATCTGAGAGCACCGCAGACCCCACAGTCCTCCTTTCTTCCTCCTCTTTCTCCCCCTCTTCTCCTCCTCCTCCTTCCTTTCTCCTCTACTCCACAAACCCCACTCCCTTCTAGCACTGATGACGCTACCTAGTTGGGTCAAGAAACGTCTGCAAGGAAACAACCAAGATTGGAGAGCACCAAAGACGCCACTAAATCATCCCTTCCCTAAGTCAGGGTACAAACTGAATGCATGAATCAAAGCAGCACCTACGGGAGCGCATTCACACATGTGTGTGTGTGTATTTCAAAGAACACCACAACTGATGATACAGAGAAGAGGAATTCCAATATTTGCGTAAGCTAGGGAGAACCTTTCCTATTTATTTTTTCCTTCAAGGACCCCCTTTATCTTTCCCAGCTCCTCCTTATTCCTTTGGGGGGGGTAAGGTTTGGCTGCTCCCCCTTCCCCTCCCCCTCCCCCTCCTACCTCTCTTGTTCTTTGTGCCATGTTTCTTAGCCGACTGTAGCTCCTGCTGGATCTTCTCTTCCAGGAATTCCTGCTTCTTGACCAGGATTGTTTCCGTCTCGTGCAGTTTCTGGATGGCCTCCTGCGGGGTGGGGGCCTTGGCCTTCTTGCCTGGAGAACAGGAGAACGGAGGGGGGGGGGGGGTTGTCAAATCGAAGAAATTCATCATTACAAGATGATGTCCGTGAAGCTGCTTTGTTCAAAAATGGTGTTTTTCTCTGATGCGTTGGGTTGTCATCCCTCTTGAGTCGGGGGTCCCATCATCCCTGGTGAGTTGGGGGTCCCGTCCTTGTTGGGTTGGGGGTCCCACCATCCTGGTTGAGTTGGGGATCCCATCATTCCCAATGAATTGGAGGTCCCTTCAGTGCCGTTGGGATAGATTAGAATTAGAATTGAGCTGGAAGGGACCTTGGAGGTCTTCTAGTCCAGCCCCCTGCTCAAGCAAGAGAACCTATACCGTCTCAGACAGGTGAATGTCCAATCTCTTCTTAAAAATCTCCAGTGATAGAGCGCCCACGATTTCTGGGGGTAAGCTTTTCCACTGGTTGGGGGTCCCATCATCCCCATTGAGTTGGGGATCCCATCATCCCCATTGAGTTGGGTTCCCACCATCCCCGTTGGGTTGGGGTTCCCATCATCCCCATTGAGTTGGGGTTCCATTATCCCCGTTGGGTTGGGGTTCCCATCATCCCCCTTGAGTTGGGGTTCCCATCATCCCCATTGAGTTGGGGTTCCCATCATCCCCGTTGAGTTGGGGTTCCCATCATCCCCATTGAGTTGGGGTTCCCATCATCCCCATTGAGTTGGGGTTCCATTATCCCCATTGGGTTGGGGTTCCCATCATCCCCATTGAGTTGGGGTTCCATCATCCCTATTGGGTTGGGGGCCCCATCATCCTTGTTGACTTGAGGCTCCTATCATCCCCATCGGATTGAGGGTCCCACCATCCCCATTGGGTGGGGCCTCCGATCACCCCTATTGGATTGGGGGTCCCATCATCCCCAATGGGTCGGGCCTCCCATCATCCCCCAGCCTGATCCTAGCCCCAACCCAATGCATAAGTGGAATACACCATTTTGGGGGGCGGGGGGTGCATGCATCCTTCACCTTTCCATAAAATTAGTTCACTCCAGTTTTTTTTAAAAAAAAAAAATTATCAAAAGAAGATGAGAAAAGCAGAATCTTTCTACGGGGCTCTCAAATCTCGCACATAAATCTTCCCCACCCCCCTCCCAAAATAATGAGCAGATCCTTTTCTGCATTTGGGGGGGGAGGGGCTGCACCCCTTCACCCAGCCCGGGAAGACTGGAGAAGAGGAGCAATTAAAACCACCCAGTGTCTCCAAGCCACATTTCCTGTAAATAAGGCCCCATTTTTAGGGGGAAAAAATAATAACCACCCCTATTTCTCTCTCTTTTCATTTATCCATCCTTTCTTTCCTTTCTCCTCTTCTCTTTCTCTCTTTCTCCCCCCCCCCGGCGCCACTTGGTTGCTCCCAAGTCTAGGGATCCCCTATGGGCTTCGGGCGATACCAACTCTGTGGCGGGGGTGGGACATGGAAATAGGAGCCTCACCTTTCCCAAACAGCTTCCCTAAACCACTCATCTCGCCTGGTGGTAAATTCACTGGGGTTCCTCTTCCGGCTTCACCCACCTACCAGCGTCGCCCCGCCCCATCACGTGCCACGAGACTAAAGGGATGGCAGGGTTTGCGTTTGGGCCCATCAGCTTCCGGCTCCCGAGCGGAGAAAGCGTGGGAGGAGAGGGGCACGCAAAGAGGGAAAACTGCAACGAAACGGCGTTAATTTCCACCGTGCACGTTGAAATAACAACCTTAAAACGTTAAATATAAACTAAAAGCAACGGAACAAGTTTCCCTTTCAGCTGGAGAGTCTTAAAATGCCTCCATTTGGGGGGGTCCTAAATCCCTCTTTGTGCTAATTCTAATCGGAACCGGAAATAGTGGTTGAAACGCTCCGCTTTTTTTCCTCTGAGGCCGGCTAGAGGCATGTGATGAAAGCGTGGGGGAGGGAAGAGGAGGATTTAGGAGAGCCGATAAATCATATGCTTTGTGACGTCACTGCCCCGCCCTTTTCTGTCTCTTAAAGGAACCATAACCCCCCAAAAAATCTTTTCCAGGCCTTAAAGCGGCTGAACCTTTTTAATCCACTCAAATTCATTTGTCTAGGGCAGGGGTAGGCAACCTTGACTCTTTTATGACTTGTGGACTTCAACTCCCAGAATTCCTGAGCCAGCCATGCTGAGGGGAAATGGAGAGGTTTCCAAGCTGAGCCATGCTGGCTCAGGAATTCTGGGAGTTGAAGTCCACGAGTCATAGAAGAGCCAAGGTTGCCTACCCCTGGTCTAGGGCAGGGGTATAAGCAACCTTGGCTCTTTTATGACTTGTGGACTTCAACTCCCAGAATTCCTCAGCCAGAGTGCCTGGCTGAGGAATTCTGGGAATTGAAGTCCACGAGTCATAAAAGGGCCAAGTTTGAAGACCCCTGGTATAAGGTTTCCTGCCTGAGCAGGGGGTTGGACTAGAAGACCTCCAAGTTCCCTTCCAACTCTGATATTCTTGTGGGAAGAATCCAGAGAAAGAAATATTTTGGGAAATATTAAAAAGGCAGAATATATTTCCCCAAAGGAATAATGAAGATCTTTAAAAATAAAAAAAAGACAGAAACCAGCCCCCAGAAATCGACCCCAGGGCCATTTTTGTCATATTTATGTAGTGTATACCGTAGGGGGTGACCCTTTGAGAGCTGTATGCAACGAAATTTCATGATAACGTATGCCGATTTGTGCACATTCAAAGTGACAATAAAGTTATTCTATTCTGTCCTTCTTCTCATTCATCTTGCAAGGCTGATTGGTCTGGACCCAGTGGTGGGATCCAGCCGGTTCGCACCACTTCGGCAGAACTGGTAGTTAATGTTTTGTTGCCCAGGCCCAGAATGGACTTCCGGAAGCAGCATCCATACAGAGAACCGGTTGTTCTCCTATTTGAATCCCACCATTGGATGGCTGGATGGCTGGATAGATAGATAGATAGATAGATGATAGATAGATAGATAGATAGATAGATAGATAGATAGATAGATAGATAGATAGATAGATAGACAGACAGACAGACAGACAGACAGACAGACAGACAGACAGA